ACCCTAACCCTAACCCTAACCCTAACCCTAACCCTAACCCTAACCCTAACCCTAAACCCTAACCCTAAACCCTAACCCTAACCCTTATTCTATTACTAAATACCCTATTATATTATCTAATAACTAACGATATTTATAAGAAGACCCGATAACTTCTATAAAGATATAATATTTTCGAAATTATTATATATAGAAACGCTATAAATTAAACTATTATCTTAAATATAGATATACTATTCCTAGTCCCTATTATTAATCGTAAATATATACGTCTTACTTCGTTTATATTTACTTTCGGTTAATAGGAGTATTAAGCGACTTCCTAAAGTACGATAGACTCCTTTTAACCGTTAAAGGATATATATTTTCCTAAATAATAATAAGTAAATATAATTAGCGTTATCGATAGGTTACGTATAAGTTCTTCCGCGCTTAGTAGAAGGTTACTATTAATACTAAACTCGAACTATCTCGAGTATTTAATATAGAGATAGATCTTAGTACTATATTTCTCGTAGATTATTACTAACCTTTTTATTACGTTTCGTATACTCTTCGAAAAGTTTTCTTTCTTCCTATTACGCCTTCGAGTCGGTATTCGAGATCGGTCGGATATTATTCGATTTACCTTTACTCTAGCGATCGTAGAGATATACGTTAGAATAGGGTTTCTTAAGATTATATATAGCTTATTTAAATATATCCTAATACCGGTACGGGGTTAAAGGACTAGACCTAGGACCTAATTAAATATAGACCGCTAGAGCCCTAAATTAGGTGTTACGAGACGGCGGTACTTAGACTAGCTATAAGATAGAACTTATACGTAATATTATCCTATATAATATATCTACGCTAAGCTCGACTATCGTATATTAATATAAAGCTCTATAATATAGTTATACTTTCGATTAAAGGCTAATTATAAGATACGTATATAACGTAATTTAATTAATATTAAATTACGCGAAATAATAATAAGCTATAGTTTATTATCGGTAATATAGATAATATCTTAATAATTAACTAATTTACGATTAACTATAGCGATAACCTATAGTCTTACGGCTAAGATAGTTACCTAGAGATACTATTAATAATATCGTGGCTATAGTATTAATATCGGCGCGATCTTTACTAGTTCTATGTCTGATACTAGCTGACTTAGCGAGAAGCGATGAAAAATACTACCCTAAAGACCTTACTATCTAATATCACTTTATAGACTAACTAAGAAGGCATCTAGCCGAGCTCTTAGCCCCCGAGGCTATCTTAAGAATTAGAATAATAGTACGAATACGGAAAGCGCTGCCGGCTACTAATTAGCTATAACCTATAATAATATTCTTCGGGTTAAAGGCGTATTATATAAGGTTGGAAAAAAGCTTAGAGAAGGAACGTTCGGTATTATCTATGCGGCTATCGACCTATTAAATTATCGGCTAGTAGCGATTAAATTTATAAGTAGCTATCTATTAGAATACCGGATCCTTAGACTAACGCTGCTATAGGAGCGTTATGAACCCGGTAAACTATAATTTCAGACTAATTATAAGATATAACTTTAGACCGAATACGAGGTATATAGAAAGCTGAAAGGATCTGGTAAGGACTTCTATGCATTAAATCCGAACACTATAGGCTAATCATTACTAATAGACGGCATCCCTAACGTATACTACTTTAGGCGGTACGGCCTCTATAATATCCTCATTTTGGATTAATTGGGACCCTCCCTGGAGGACTTATTCGACGGTTGTGGGCGGAAGTTCACCCTAAAGACCGTGGTAATGATCGGAAAACAGATGGTGCGTGGCACTGCATGGCCCTGATCGTTAGGGCAATCCAGCTAAAGTCTTTAGATATCAATAGCGGAGGCCTTGCATGGACAGGGGTTGATACACCGCGATATAAAACCGGAGAACTTCCTCATCCATGGACCAGGCAGTAAGTACCCTAACAAAATTTCCCTTATCGACCCTGCCATGGCGGAGAACTATCGATGTTCCAAGACCGAGAGACATATCCCCCCGTGCGAAGGCATGGATCTGGTGGGGACGGCTCGGTACATGAGCATCAATGCACACCTCCGAAAGCAGCAGTCACGACGAGACGACCTTGAATCCATATTCTACGTGCTCTTCTACCTCATGAGGGGAGGCCTGCCATGGCAAGGCTTAAAGGCGCCTACCAAGGAAGACAGACTCGACAAAATTCTTGAAATCAAGCAACAAAGGTCGGCCGATAGCTTGTGTGGTACCCAGTCCACGATGTTCGTCAAATGCCTTGAGTACGTACGCGAACTGGGATTCGAACAAGACCCGGATTACGATTACCTCAAATGCTGTCTCACCAAAGCTTTGGAGATGAATGGAGAGGCCGAGGACGACAGGTACGACTGGGATACATGCTCCTTCCCTGCTTCTCCGTTGATTTCTCCCTCTTCTTCTCAGACTTCAGAGTATGTCAGGTCTACTGAACAAAGTGGCGATCCATCTCATGTCGTATCTGGGAGCCGGCTTGGGAAGGCGAAGGATACGCTCGCGGCGGTGAAAACAGTCGCTTCTCGCTGGCTGACAAACCCTTTATTCGTGACACAACCCAGTTGCCCCAAGAGCGGGAGAATTCACTATAATGCAAAGGCGCAAGCAACACTTAACGAGATATCCCAGTTCGTGGGTCACTCTATCCGTCAACTCAGGCGTCATCAAAGGGAAGTAAAGAGGGATTTGAGTGTGGGGAAACTAGGCGTCACCAGCCACAACAACCTAAATATTGGCTGCGACAGGCTTGAGAGTGCTCTGAAGTCTTACGACAAACTGTTGCGAGCCCTTGAATATGTGGCAGTGCTTTCAGAGAAAGCCAGTTGGGAATTCCTTCGCAAGGCAAGCAGTGACGACGTTGTGGGCTTAAAGACAGAGTTGAATGGGGTTGAAAGCCTGGTCGAGGACTGTCTAAAATTGGTGGAACAGACCGACAATGCGACTATCAGTATCAGTAGAACGTCTTTTGCAACAAGTCAAGACTCAGAACTGCCCTTGGAGATCGATGAGATCTATGCTCATCCTGGGGATGAGACTCACCAGCAGACCAGTACGACTTTTGAGAGTCGAGGAGGGAAAGGATCAAGAAATGAAGAAAGTCAAAGACCGGATACAACTCAGGACAAGTCTCACGCCCAGAAACGGGGCCATACGACTCTCAGCCCTGGACCGCGGCCGCATAAACGACCATCTTATGAAAGTCTTTCTAGTCGGGCAGATGACAGATGGCCACATGGAGATGGGGGTTAGCGGTCAGTTGACATACTCCCAACGCAAGAGCATATCATTGACGACCTGGATAGGGGAGGTGAACAATAGTGAGTGACAGGCGCCAGTAGACTTCATTTTGAGATCACATGTCAAAGGAGTTTCGTGAGGAGCGAAAGCCTCCAAACAACTGCTGATCTCTTTGGGTCCACTTGATCAGTACACTCCTAGAGTGGGCGATATAGCCTCAAGAAGGGCATGATATCGCTCATGAACCGTTCTTCCGCGCCTATAAGGACACCGTGGTCCCTCATAGATTGCAACCCCTTCTTCTCATGAACGTGCTACAGGTCCAAACTGTGATCCAGTGCCAGGTCTCTCTCGAGTTCATAGTGCTTATTCTGATCCGTCCTCCTACCTTTCGGCATTGCCAGTCACAGAGTGAATTCCCGGGATAAGGGGCAGTGGTGAACTAATAGCCGGCTGCGAGTCGCACCCACCGAGCTACCAAGGGGTTAATGGCTGAGTGTAGTTGGGATATAGTTGTTAATCACCATTGGAGGCTGTCCAGTCGGAGCTGGTTCCGGGTCGACGCGCTCCCGATTGCGACTGCTGCTCCTCAGCATACGACTGGGCCAAAGTCTTTTCTTGTACATCACTGGAAATCCGACTGATCAACTTTCTGCACGAATATGACCAGGTCTTTGAGGTGATGTCGTAAAAGCTTGTATGCTTCTTGCCAATCAGACCTTGCCAGCGATATGACCCACGATCACAAGGCGTGCCCGTATACCGCATGACGCGAAACAAAAGCGATAAGCCTCTGGGCGACCCAGAACAAATTATGAAGTATCCACAACGTGCCATTTTCTGCAAACATAGCAGCGGAGGCTCCTCGTGTCTTTCACTGTACTTCCACATGCGACCAGTCGATTTTCAACTCGCCGGACAAAGACGCGTACTATGGAAGAGACGTCATGTGCTATATGGTTCGTCTGCTGTCGATTGAGTAGGCAGTTAACGATAATTGTGTCTTTTTTGTGGGTGTCCGTTCGGTGACAGTATCCTCGATCAAGAAATTAGATTGAGCCTTGTAAGCTTGGTAATGTGTGTCGCACCTCCAAACTTCGCCTCGCAGCTCTTTGTAAAATTCTATTCTCCAGACATGGTGATAGTTCTGATACGGGTTTGCTCGACTTCGTCTGAGCCTTTGCAGAGTCGGTCAACTTAGTCCACAGGTGTTCGTCACAAAAGTCACGTGAGGCTACCAGCCAGCGCTGCCGTCAATTCAAACCTATCAATTCAAACAGTCAAACAACCGATCAAGTCACACATATTTCACGATTTAAACAGTCAAACTACCCCATTCGGATTGATTGGCTGTTTGGATACTGTCAAGTCATGTGGGAATCTCGGGATTTCTATATTCCGGCGTATCATGTGACCGAGAAAAGGGAATTGCACGCGAACTTGGGCTTCAAGTTTGCGTGCAATTCTTGTGACTGGGGTAGGATTCGAACCTACGCCTTCTGCCAATAAAGTCAGAATACCATACCACTAGACCACACAATCTTATTGAGAGCGCTGCAACAATGATACTAAGAAAGTTCCGAGGGCTGACTAATCCTACACTCCGAAATATCGCGTAGATGTGTAACGCAGTTTCAAACACTCCAGCCCTCTATTCGCGATATCACTTCAATCCCTCCGACAGCCACCCCACGACCTCTACCTTCCGAATATCAACCCGCCGACTTCAAGAACCCTCAATATTTCCCTCAAGATCTTCAATTCGACTCCAGTTCCAACGATATCGTCACAACTATCAGAGACTTCGCAATCAAACAACGTAGCAGATTCCCACCCCTTCCCCATTGCGACCTGGCGTCGCCGTCGCTTCACCCTCACGTCACAGATTGCACGGAAGGGAGCAAGGGATCGCAGAAGCTGGATACGTGCTTATGGGCTCTTTATTACAGAGATCCTCGAAGGAGATACGATTGGGCCAAGCTTCTGGCTCTGTCAACGATGTGACGAGACTCACAACGTTCAGCTCTTCAAGGCCACCTCAACAACCTCTGCAACAAGTCATCTACGGAAGAAGCATAGGGTATTCGAATCCTCAAGTGAACAGACGGAGGAAGACTCTTCAAGCACTTCAGAGTCAACGCCGCGGCGTACCATAATACACAAGTCTTCGACAGATCAAGCAGAAGAGCTTGCTCTTGCATTCGTCGTGACGACAAACCAGCCCTTCGATATCTTTAATAGCCCATACCTCAGTCGGCTCCTTACGCAACTGAATCCTCATATCGCCCCAGTAATACCCTGGGGACGAACCTCTCTCCGACAGAGTCTCTCCAGGGTTTTCACCGCAAAGAAGAAACAGATACAACATCAGTTAATAACTTCAAAGTCTCAGATCCACCTTACATTCGACCACTGGACCTCTCCGAATAGCTTGGCGATACTGGCCGTTTCCTGTCACTATATAAGCTATAGTGGCGTTCGACAGCAGCGTCTTCTTGCTCTCCGACAACAGTGCGGAAGCCACACAGGCCGGAATACCGCAGCCTTTATTATATCCATCATCAGGGAGTGGGATATCTTAGATCGTATTGGCGTCTTGGTCTCAGACAACGCGCAGACTAACGATTCTTGTGGTCAAGAGCTATTCCAGCAGCTAATTCCATCTATGACGATTGATGACGCGTTAGAACCACGAATACGATGCTATGGCCATATCCTGAACCTCGTTGGAAGGGCTTTCTTATATGGAGAGGATAGTGAGGTCTTTGAACAAGAATCGCAAGCCCTAGAGCTATCAAGCGACTCTCAAGACTCTCTTCGTCACTGGAGGAAGAGGGGACCTATTGGTAAGCTTCATAACATCGTCCAATGGGTTCGTTCTTCACCACAGCGTAGTGAATACTTCCAAACCATCGCCAAAGAAGCTCAAGAAGCCGACGATAGCTTCCAAATCTACCAGCAATCCGACCTTGAGCTCCGGCTTATCCTTAATAACGAAACGCGATGGAATTCAACGTTCTTAATGCTCGATCGGGCCCTCAAGAAGCGTAGCGATATCCAAAGCTTCCTCCAGAAGAATCTCTCTGAACCCGACCCCCATAAACGTATACCGGAAGACGACGTTCTGACCTTTGAGGATTGGCGCCTCCTTGTAGAACTCCGCGAGGCTCTTGAGCCATTATACCGACAAACAATCCGCGCGCATGGATGGGCTAAGAATGGAAGCCATGGGGCGCTCTGGGAGTTACTCGTGGGTATGGAGTATATCTTGGAGCAAATGGAACAGTGGAAGTCGTTCTTTGACGACTTCTCTAGTACCAGAGACTCTCCCCGAGTATCTACAACTCGTCGGAGAGGTCGTCAACCTCGTACGCAAAGCTCCATCACGCCCCCATCAATCCATTCCCTCCCCATACACACACAGAGCGAATATTCCACGATGCCCTCTCATCGCCTCGAGGCACTCTCCGAAGACTCACGACAATACTTCCGTCTCTCTATCACGAACGCGTGGAAGAAGCTCAATCAATACTACACCAAGCTAGCAGAGTCTCCATTATACGCGGCAGCTGTTATCCTCCACCCTGGGCTAGGAATGCGATGGCTGGAGGCGCAGTGGACGACGCCAGAGCAGTTAGTATGGCTTCACGAGTCTCGTACCAGCTTACGTATCTATTGGGAGCGATGGTATCGCCAGGGTCAATCACTATCACAGCAGGATATACCATTAATAGCTATGGGCTTCAACGAAAGGTATGCCCAGACGAAATCTTGGGTACGACTTCACGTCTCCCGTTCTCGGCTTGATGTCTGTATCTGTCGGGTTTGTTCTTTGGCTACGAACCGGAAGGGTTTCGGGAAGTAGCTGGTAGGTCGTACGCTGTTTAACTAGTATAAGGTATTTCGTCCTGTCGTCGTTGTCGTTTCCTCGTATCGCGTAATGATGCGATCCGTGGCCTCGTAGAGCGCTTTAATCTTCGCTTTACCGGACGCGGGACTGAGGAGCTCGGCCCCGCCCTATTATTCGGTCCCCAGGAACAGGGCATAAGGGCGCGCCTGGGGTCGTAAGGTTAATAAGCGAAGAAGCCGGCGGTCTATGTCGCGGTAGGTACGCTGCCACTGCGTCCGCGCGAGCCACGGTTGCATTTCTGTATAAGGTGTCTCGCCGGCGTCGTCATGGCCCGAAGGAGACCGGTATGTTGTCGGTACCTGTTGTATACGTGGTGTAAACTGATGGAAAATCTTCTCGTGGGCGAGCACGTCGTGTAGGTGGCGCGTCGCCGTAGTCGTCGTATCGAGCCCGATATCGGTACTGGTATCGCCGCTCCGGGGCACAGTCTAGTGTTCGGACCAGGGCGGGTTCCTGATCCACGACTGTAGGAGGACGGAGGTAGCGCTGCGTCGGTACCTGCCTTTGGTAGTTACGGTCGAATGTTCTTGTTTAAAATGCCGTACCATTATCGGCTTGCTGATTGTACGGAACGAGTAGGATTCGCATTGGAACCCATCGTGCAGTTGAAGTTGGTCGGTGTAAGGGGAGTTGTCGGGTCGTGGCGGGGCCGTTGTCGGGCCTCGAAGACGATGACACTCTTCCTGAAGTTGGTTTTCTCGGATAATGCTTGCGATCTCTCTCCGTTTGTCGGTGGACACGTCATGCCGATTCCGTAAATAGTCGTTGACGCTACTCGCTACAGGCGACAAGGCGATACGGCACGTTTTATAACCACACACTAGGAGAAGCACGTCGTGAAGTATTGTATGCTGTACGCTCGCGAGGAGCGTTGCCTCCCGATCCTCCCTCTTCCGTTTCTTTCTAGCTTGCTCGTACAAGAGGCCTTCCTAGCGAGCCTTTCTGAGAGGAGCCGGTGCCAGCGGCCGACGTAGTATGGAACCCGAATCGCATGTCTAGATCGGAAACCCGGTTTCCTGTCAGGTGCCGTCTAGAGGGTACAGCGCGAGCGCCCTCGTCATGGTGTAAAGTAGACTAACCAATAGTTGTCGTACGCATCGCCGTTATCGTAGTGCCCCACGTGTATGTGAGATGACAGGCCGACCTGGTTTAGGGTGGAGAAAAAATGTGATGGATTTGGTAGCGGAGCAGAATCAGGACCTGATTTACTATGAACGCGATCCGCAATGCGTCGTGCGATGTGGTTGAATCCGGACCTGATTCGAGGGCGCAGAGACCATACGAACAAGCCAGGGTCGCACCAATCACCATCAGGGTCGTACCACGTGAATCAGGTCCTGATTCACGAAACCCTTGGTACATGAGATTCTTCCGGTCCCAGCGTAGTATACCTGTCGAGAGTATATATTAAACCTGAGAACGTGACTCTGAACGTAGTATCGTTTAGCTTTACACGTTTTAATGGATTTAAAGACTCAGATTGATCACTATCGTGAGAAAGTGTAAAAGGATGTCCATCCCTATACCCGATTGTCCTATTCTTAATGCTCCTTGTTATTCAATAGTGAGGCCATGTTGGAATGGCTCACTACGTGTTTCCTGGATCACTGTTTCACCACGTAATCCATTATGACTTGCTAACGCGTAGGATGCCCATCTCATCTTGTAACTTCCCGAGGCGCGGTTGTATCCATTGTAACGAGTGCGCAACGCCTTACGACACCACATCGTCTCAGAGTCACAACCTAAGCTTCTGCTAACAGGAACCCTAACCCTCTGACAGTGTTCCCCCTTGGAAGCTGCCAGGTCGTAACAGCTTGTTGCTCGTCGTGCGGCTTCCGATTCAGCTAGTAGTCCCGGATGCGTAGGATAAGGTATAAAGCGAAGTTTATATAATGTAGTTAGTTTCTTTTAGTGTTAACGATTTACTTTATTCTTATTCTAACCCTCTCTTCGTAGATATATCCGATATTATATAATAATCTTAATTCCCTAAGTATATACCTATTAGAGGAGTATACTCTGCCGATATATTATAGAGCTTTAAGTCTTTATAATTATAGAGTAAATTAAAGGACATCCATTAATTAGAAACGCGCTTGAGATTAGTATAGAGAATACTATCGTCGGTGTTTTCTTTAGTAATTCGTTAATGTCTTCGTAGAACTTCGAAAGCTCTCTTTTATATGAGGAGGCTCGTTTATATAAGTAATAGCGAAGTCGCTGCCTGCCCCGCCGGGTTTGGCGGCGCGCCCAAACGGGCATCGCGCCACGTCGGCGGCGCTGGGCCTGTGGCCATCCCGCTCCCGCGCACGGGCCCCGCCCCTCCTCTTCCATAAGTAGGCGTCCTCCCGCCGCGACGTCGTCGCTCGTACTCTATACTTTTTGACCTCCTCCTCGCCGTCGTGCCGTCCTGGCTCCCCAGCTCGCCTGCCTCGTTTTCGACGGCTCCGCCCCTGCCCCTTCATTTCCGCTATCATGCTGCTGCCTGCTTAGCCCGGCTGGACGCCCGGCCTCCCCGAAATGGCCGCATCCTCGAAGCAGGACCTCGATCGCCAACTCGACCATTGTCCCTGCCGCGTTCCCGGCCGCTCGTCTCAGCTCTGGCGATCCTTGACTGTGGTCCACCCGCCTAACTGGTCTCGCACGCCCAAAGCCCAGTGAGCGTTCCCAGTGCTCGCGCTGAGCAAGCCGCCCCGGCTGACGTCTCCTGCCGCCTGCCCTTGCAACGAGCTTGAGGCTAGTTTCCTGCATGGCAGCGTCTCGGGCAATCCCCTTCCCAATTCGACACCCCTAACCCCTCACTCGGCACCATCGCCTACGCCGACACCTTGCGATTGGACGACTCGGTTCCATACTTCGCTTTTTCGCTGCCACTCTTCTTCGCCTGGGCGTTTCGTGCGACACATAGTGCAAGACACCCTAGCAGGACTTGGCCGCCCGCCCCCGCTTCGTGTAGAACAAGAAGCCGAATACGATCGATAGCTTCGTCACGGAAGGACGGCGCATCGCGGCGCATTTTGCTTCTTGGCCCCAACCTGTGAGGCCTCCAGGCCTTGTACTAGAGCGCCACCGGGTCAGACCAACGGGATGGACCCCCTGCGATCAGGTTTCGCTTGGAGATCTGACTAGTTCATTTCAGTTCCTCCTCGGACGAAGGGAACGCAGTTGGTAGGCAATGACTCGGTTCTTGGAAAGCGGCGAGTCCGAGAGTCGTACGATGTCAACCGATGCGATTGGAGGACGGCCGAGGACGCGATGCTTTACGACGATCCGCTACAGAAACACCATCGAGGGAGGTGATGCAATTATCAGGCGGGTCGATCGTCGTAGGGCCTGGGGCAAATTCGTTCGTGCTAAGCATTTATCCGATATTGCCTACCAGCAAGTCCTGACGTTTGCTGACATGACTCTGGCAAGGACTTATTCGGGATCATCAGCGAAACTAGGGATTGTCTATAAAGCCCGGGACGTTCTCCTAGACCCCTCTTTGACTTCCTAACTTCTTCACCGTACTCTTTCCTCACTCGCCAGAAATCTATCAAGCCGGACTGGCATATTCAAACTTCGCAGCCATGCAAGTCAGTCTTGATCGCATAGAATTCTACGAGCCCGACCCCAAAGCGCCGAACCTGCCGAGACTATCAACTTTAGCCATTCCCAGAAACGAGGTTCTCTCCGCACCCGATGAGCGTGCCGAGCAGCCGAGGCTATGCGGCAAAGACCCGACCTGGGAAGGTGTCATTGTAATATCAGACAACGACGGCAGCGACGGCGAGAGCAGCAGCGATGGAGACGCCCGAAGCAGCACTTCTAGGCCTAGGCCCGAGAAGCAGGCCTCACTTCCTAATGGATGCGTTAGCCCGCGAACGATCTCGAAATTCCCCGTCGGCCCGATCTTCGACCGAGTTAACCATCTCCTTGTCGACGCCAATTTGCAACCTGCCGAAAAGCTAAGAGCCGATGCAGCGTCGTCATACGATCGAGGCTTCCCTCTGATGCAATGCACTTTACAAACCCCGTCGAGTTCCCCTCAGCAAACCCTCTTCCCCGCTCCCGGTGCCCCTGCATTCGAAGACGACACCAACATGCAACGGACCCAAAGCCCCTCGATGCCGCTCTCAGGCACTGCTTACGACACGCTCCACCTCTTGTCGCGCCACGCCGGCAGTCTACCACATTCTTCCGGCAACACATCTCGGGGCAGCTCAGTCGAGCCAGATATCGAAGCTCAGGAACGGTGGCTTCTGCCTTCGCCCTCGGACAGACAGGTTTTGGACCAGATCATCGATGGCACCGCTGACAAGGGAGGTCCGTGTCATGCGACAGCAGTCGACACAAATGAAGGCATGCCAGCTTTAGCCTCGTCTCTGCCTGTCTCCTCCCTTGTGTCCCACTTATCCCCATCGATGTGCGTGGGGTTACAGTTAGTCCAACCCAACTCGCAGGACACGAGACGCGCTCAAGAAGATACCATCTCCCCCTGCACGACTGGCAACACTTTCTACGACTTGGAAGACTCTGTGACGTCCACCGGGCCATCGCCATGTGGCACGTCACCTGTATCCACGCCCACCACCATACCGCGGCTGCAGGCGCGAACGCACGATCCCATTTCGCCGCTCAGACTCAGACGAACCCGAAGTGCACGCCCTACCCATAGCACCCCTCAGCGATACAGCGCACGTCTGCGCGCTATATCCCGCAACGCACTAGGTGCCCGTTTCCAACACAAAGCAAACCATGATTCCGACTCCAATGACGGTTCATCGTCTGAAGACGGAAGCGACAACGACACAAGCTATACAACGAGGTCGATCAACTGCATAGAAGAAAGGAGCAACGACGGCCTAGACGGAGATGTTATGCCGGCACCAAAACGTCGCAAGTCATCATCTCCACAGGTCGTTGCGGCTCAACGTCGAACCTTGCGACAAGCCTCGAGGTTGTCAGCGGCCGGTGCCAACACTTGTGCCACGGGAAATGCCCGAACTCGTGGTATCGCTACCCCATCATCATCCTCTCATCAATCGTCCGACCGAGACTCTGTCACGGACCGGTCTGTCGCCCGGGTTGAGGAGTGGCCATTGCAGGACGTCGCTCTGAAGCGTGTGACAGTGAACGGCGTGGCAACATTCCAGCTCCAGTTCTCATGGGACCGGCGTGCGGATCATCGCCGGGATCACCGCATTACAGAGACACGAGACCCTTGGTGTTCAGCTAGGAAACGACACAAGAAGAAGCATGCCTCAAGTTCGGGCAGACCATTCACGAAGGATGAAGACCATTGTCTGATGAGGCTTAAGGAGGAGGATGAACGGTTGTCTTGGACAAAGATTCATGAACTGTTCACGAAGTCCTACCCCGGCCGCACGAAGGGGTCCCTCCAGGTGCACTACTGTACCAAACTCAAAGGAAAGTCTGATAGCCTGATAATGTTGAATTGATGTGTTTGTACGGTATATTACCTACATATGTATGCCTTCCCCTAGGTGAAAGGTTGTCGTACAATTTGAGCTGGGCTAACATGCTTGCCTCTATCCAGGAAAGGTTGTCGTACAATTGTCGAGTATGCTTGCCGGGCAATGCTTTGTCGACTTCCTTGGAGAGCTTTCCAACGCTGTCGGGCAGTCGCCTCTCTACGCGTAGTTGACGCCTCGCCGTATTGAGGGTATTTCTGCTGAACGACGCATAGGGACCTCCGCAGGGGACGCATTTGAGGATGGCCTCATCGCAAGTGCTGTGGTGGTGACCTTCTCTGGCGCATCCCCCGCAAACTTAGGGCCGGCTGCACTGGTAGGCTCTGTGGCCGGTCCCGACCTGCTGGTAGTTGTAGTACTGGTCAGGGCGGACTCGGTGTTCCCAGACTTCGGTCCGTCCAGACTCTCCCCCGGCGTACATGAATCTGTCCGTTAACAGCTTCTCCGTATCTAACGCCTTAGTGAGGTAAACAGCCATAGAGCCGTATTCTTTTGGAGGACCGTTGATGCTGAGCTAGCTTATTTTCGTAATCTGAACGTTGTTTTCTTAGCCGATCTATTTAGCGATATCGATGCGGATTTTGTCTTTCTCGTCTAGGACTACCGTACGCTTTACATAGTTGACTTTAACGCGGTAGAGGTCGTCTCGTAGCATTCTAGCTTCTCGGGGTAACTTGGATTCTACTATGCACTTAACTAGCTTAAGTTCCTCCTCGTTTCTGCAGGCGATTCTGATTCGGGACTTCTTAGAGTCTTTAGTCACGGCGAGGCACCGCCAGTTATCCTAACCTTACTCTGCCCTAACCTTGTCTTCCGTGAGGATACGAACAGCGCCCAGTATGAGCTGTTCATCTTGTTCGTTCTCGATTCTCGATAAGTCGATCGTGCAGAAGAGCGTGTCTGCTTGGGTCGGTGGTGCTACCGTGGTAGACGGCCTCGCATTGCTGGTCGGTGACATTCGGGCGACGTCTGTATACGAAGCTTCGGCTCTGCGCTGCTCTGCTGCCGTTGCTGTGCTTGCTACGATGCTTTTACGTAAAGCCTGGACCTCGGTCGTAGTCGCATGTTGGGCTTCCTTTAGCTCGTTGACTTGGTTTTGGAGCTCTTCAATTCGTGCTGCCTGCGCCTGAGACTCTCCTAGGACTTGTTCGAGGATGGATGTCTGTCGTTCCAGCTGTTTCTGTATATCGCGTAGTAACGCCCTTCCGTCTAGCTGCCCCCCGTTGGTCCTGGAAATTGGTCGTCGCACCGTCGATTTAGTACTGCGCCCTTTGGTTCTTCGCTTCGTGACTTCCGTATTATCGGTCGCATTGTCGGTTGCTTGATTGTCGATAGCTTTATCTTCGATGGCTTCGTTGTCGGTGGCTCGATTGCCGATGGCTTTGTTGCTCGGCTTGGGCCTCGGTCGAAGTTGTCGCCTCTCACCACCATCCCTCTCTTCCTCATCCGACGCGATATTGATCGTGTCGCGTTCGGTCACTATGGCTGAAGGTGGGGCGCTACGTGGAGTGGGATCCACTAGTTCGCGTCGCGCCGTCCCGCGTTAAGACCAACCCACCCACGATCAATCTGATACCGTATTTCAACGAAATAGTGAATGCTTTAAATCTTGGAGTCTCTCTGGAGCTCTTCTTTGATCGCCCTTGTTCGGTCCCGGGTGGTTCCGTGATAGTATAGCTAGTACTGTACAGTAGCGGCCGATTTGAGCGTCCGCCTAGGTAAATATTAAAACATCTTTAAGCCCAAGAAGTAGGGTCTCACAGTGTGATGTATGAAAGGTGTATCACTGGAACAAACGCCGGTCTAGATTAAGGCCATCCGTGTAGGGCCACGACCATCTGGAACACAAAGGACGTGGATAACCAATTGCTATGATGACAGTGATGACAGAATAAGTCAGATAAATACAAGCCGGAATAAAACGGTAGCATAAAGGTAACCATGGCAAACAGATAGCCGTTTCAGCGAAGAAGACAGTTCACGGGTCGTCTACTGACTGTAACCAAGGTAATGCTGTATGCGTTCAGCGATTCAAGACGGATAGTCATTCGACATGAATCCTCCCACGCACAGCCTCCACCTAGGCCAGTATCTCAACCGCTTTCTTAACCGCTTTCTTAACCTGGCCGTTGGCTTGATACGCTATGGCGAGCGCGTGTTGCGATGCTAGTCGAGATGGGTGGTCCCCTGCTAGCGTACTCTTACGTATCGTCACTATATGCTCTAGTATGTTAACCGATTCCGTGGTTCGTCCTTCTCCCCTAAGGCATCGTCCTGCCTAGAAGCCTAATTCGTACTCCTCGTGTCCCTAGTCTCCCCTTCGCACTGCTATGTGGATCGCCCTTAGCATATGCGGTATATATCGACGCTAGATCTCACGCTTCTCCTACTTATCAGACCTAGAGATAGTCGCCAAGTGCGCTATAGCTGCTCGCCGCACCTCTTCAGAGTTGTCTTATATCTGCATTTAGCTCCGCGTTGCCAGGTACACTAGGCTATGTATATCGAATACTGGTCCGTCTACTGGTTCGTCCTCTCGCTCTTGTAAGAAAGTATACCCCCTGAGAGTTCTAAGCGTATAAATAAGATATTCCTTTGTGTGTAGCGGAGGTAATATCGGCTGTGGTATCGCCCGCGGTTCTACCTGCGATATGAATAATAAAAGCTCCGCCGCTGGCTTATCGATTCGGCGAATCTCCTCGAAAGAAATGAGCTATATTATGGCTATAGTATGCCGAGACTCCCGATATCGCGTCTAGCGGTTAGGGAATTCCCGGCTTAATAGACTGATGGCCTCTTGGTCTGTATCACGTAGGAGCGAAAGATACTTTGAGATGGGTATCCTGTTCCTCTTGATATAGGCCGCCGCCTGCGAAATAGCTATCGGGAGATAGGCGAGGTCTAGTGCCCCTACGGCCGCATTATCTATGGTTACATCCTTCGATAGCAGCTTCTGCAGAAACTCTCTGGCCTCCTGATCGTCTATCTCACTCACGTGGATGAAGTCGTCGTCCACGATCGCCCGCGCTACGTCTGTCGATCGTGTCGTTGTCGACGATAACAAGCCAGTGGCAAGACTGAGCTAAACACAGATGTCGTTGCACCAGCTCTTTCGGGTCCTCCTAGCTCGACCCTTCGAGGCCAAGGTCCCTGATTATCTCCGTGCACGCCTGCTCGAAGCCTGCCATGCTGAGTGCTGGTAGCCAGAGGACCGACCAGCTCGGTTTGGTCTCCTTGACCCAGTACGCCATTTGCAGCGCCACCTGCGTCTTCCCTAGGTTTGAAACCACAGCCTAATTGTGCGTTCGTCGGCCTGTCGCCCGCATCCGCCATTTTCTGCTCGCATTTACTTAAATCGACTCTGATCGACCAGCCGCATCCACTCCCCACCACAAAGTCGACCACACCAGCCTGTTATCCCGCAGAACGTACGCCCCAGAATAGATCTGCCCGGGCGGTAAGTCGTGTTGCGCAACTATTGGTGGGCGCTCGCTTGGCATACAGTCGTCACGACTGGTCGTTGGTCAACGCGGGCGCCTGCGGTCGCTGAGCCACCCAACACAAATAGTGTGCACCGCGACGATTGCCCTTAATACTCAGCACCAGCCCGACCAGGCTACAGTTTTCGACTAGGAACCTCTGATTTTAGTCTGCCACCCAACCTATACATTCGGCAAACCAGCTCTGCACCCTCTGGCATGCCACCCTGAGAGCCTATGTATTCCTGACGCGACGCGAACAGATTCGTGGCACCCAAAACGGCACAAACCTCTTCTCTCTGGTCCGTGGAGGAACAGAAAACTGCTTTTCCCCTCTACTGCCGCCATCTACAGCCGAAACGCTTCCCACCCGCCGAGAATCGACCGCACGATCACGCACATCAACACTTACCATCCACGATTGAACGCCTACTCCATACTATACCCGTCATGTCAGATGAACAATGCAATGCGGATGATTACACAGTGGGTTGGGTGTGCGCACTTCCGTTGGAGATGGCCGCCGCCAAGGGAATGCTCGACGAGACCCACCCAAACCTATCCGAGCAGGCGCCGGCTGACCATAACATCTATCTCCTTGGCCGGGTTCAGGGACACAACGTTGTCATCGCCTGCCTGCCCGCCGGGGTTTTCGGAACGACGCCTGCGGCCACAGTCGCTAAAGACATGCTGCGTACCTTCAAGTCGCTCCGCTTCGGCTTGATGGTGGGAATCGGTGGTGGTGCTCCATCGTCACGCCATGACATTCGGCTGGGCGACATCGTCGTCAGCCAGCCGTCTGGGACGACTGGAGGTGTGGTGCAGTACGACCGAGGGATGGATGGGCGGGAAGGCCACTTTGAACGGACTGGATCGCTCAACACGCCGCCTAAGATCTTGTTGAACGCCTTGGGTCGTCTCCAGGCCGACCATCTTACAGTAGACAGCCGCGTCCCCGAGTTCCTGTCCGAGAGCCTCCAGAAATATCCGAAAATGAAAAAGGCATTCAGTTTCCAAGGCGAGTCGAACGACTGTCTGTTCCAGGCAGAATACGAGCATGCCAGCGATGATTCTGGGTGCGAACAATGCGATGGTACGAGGGCCGTTCAACGGGACGCCAGGGATGACACCGATACGGTGGTCCACTACGGCACCATCGCCTCAGGCAACCTAGTGATCAAAAATGCAAGCACACGAGACCGGCTGAGTAGGGATTTCGGGGTTCTTTGCTTCGAGATGGAGGCGGCCGGGCTGATGCAGGACTTCCCGTGTCTCGTAATCCGCGGCATCTGCGACTATGCCGATACGCACAAGAACAAGGCGTGGCAGGGTTATGCAGCGGCGGCGGCGGCAGCGTTCGCAAAGGAGCTCCTTTCGGTCATCCCCCCCGAACGTGTTCTCCTAGAGAGGGCCATCCCTCAGCTAGTCTCAGGTGAGTCCAGGTGATTCCGGGAGAACACAGTGGATGGGTGTCGTTCGTGGTGTCGACAGATCAGTCCAATCATAATACACTGAATTTGCTGATCGGTCGAAATAGACCCCGTGCTCCAAGTCCTTGTGAATAACACGAACGAGGCCATTTCTCAGCATACGCGCAAACAAGATGTCCGATATGAGAATAAGAAGCAGGTCAAGTGCCACCGCACTTTCAAAACCTCCAAGTACGAAGACTTCAAGAACATCAACCCTGATCGGGCTCTAGGCACGTGCAAATGGGTATTAGAGCATCCAAAGTACGTGCAGTGGCAACACAATGCCTGCGACGACCTCCTCTGGATCTCCGCCGACCCTGGTTGCGGCAAATCCGTACTGGCGAGGTCTCTTATTGACAACGAGCTTCGGAGCACAAGCGATCACACGGTGTGTCACTTCTTCTTCAAAGACAACGAGGAACAAGACAGCCTCGCAACGGCTCTGTGCGCTATCCTTCACCAACTCTTTAGTAGCCAGCCACAGCTCCTGCGGCACGCGGCCAGTGCCTTCGAGAAGAATGGAGCGAAGCTACAGAATGAGGTGGACGAACTGTGGCGCATCCTGTTAATGGCCGCTACGGATGAGTCTGCGAATGCTGTGACTTGCGTTCTGGACGCGTTGGACGAATGCTACGAAGACGGTCGACTAAAGCTCATTCGGCTGGTGACGGACTTTCATATCAGCCGCTCCCCATTATCAGGAAGGACGTCACAATTAAGATTCCTTATTACGAGTCGCGTATACTATAATATTAAGTTCGGTTTTAGTTATATTCCCCGGGACCTGCCTTCGATTCGGCTAGCTAGCGAGGAGAATAACGCTAATATTAGCGAAGAGATTAATCTAGTTATCCGATAGAAAATATAGACGGCTACTAATAACTTTCTCCTAGAATAAGATCTACGTAATATACTATAAGAGAAGCTACTATTAACGCTATACTAGACGTACCTTTAGCTATATCTCGTCTAGGTAGAGCTTAAATAGAGTAATAAACGGACTAAGATTTCGTTACTTAGAAAGATCGATACGCTTCTATTAAAGGTAGAGGACGTATACGAGAAGATTCTAAGTAGATATAGTTATAGTTAGGAAGAGGAAGTCGAAATCTTACTTTATATTATTATAGGCGCTCGACGGCCGCTCTCGCTAAAGGAGATAGATATAGCGTTTTAATTAGCTATAGACTTAAGAGGTACTTTATAATACGAGGAACTTAATCTTAATAGTAAGTATCTAAAAACGCGTATTCGGGCGCTTTACGGTCTCTTCGTTTTTATTAGGGATACCTAGGTCTACTTAATCCACTAAACGGCGAAGGAGTTCTTTATAAGAAAGGGGCCCCGTAAATAACGGACTATCGATCGCTAGAAATATACTTTTTATAAGCTAGATTCCTATACAGTTATAATAAAGATCTACGTTTAATACCTTCTCTTTTCCGATATTTAAGATAAAGGTTAGCGGGAATACGAGTAGGGATTAAGACGTATAGCTAATTTCGGGGACTTCCCCTTATTAGACTATACTTTAGTAAACTAGCTAGCGTATTTAAAGGCTATAGACTCCTTAGACGATAGGTTACTAAACCGTATATTAAAGCTATATAATACTTAATTAAAAATATTTAAGTCCTAGGTATTAATATTCTAGACGGCTAACTATCGTTACGATAGTCGATATCGTATTAAACTAGGGTATCTCGTAGCGCTAAACGGATATAATAATATATTAGCGGAGCTAATATTAATATATATAATAATAATCGACGAAGTAGATAGTAATAGTAGGACGATACTAACTTAGGTAGCTTAAAATAGCTACGTCGATATTATCTAACTATTCTTAGATAAGGGGGCGGACGTTAATATATAGGGTCTCTAGTATAATAGCGGCCTATATAGGCCCTTATATAAGGGTAGCGAATACGGTAACGCTCTATATACTACCTTATACGAAGGTTATATAGAGATTATCTAGCTACTCTTAAATAAGGGGGCGGACGTTAACGTATAAAGCGGTAAATATAGTAACGCTCTATAGGCCGCCTTAATTAGAGGTAACGTTAAGATTACCTAGCTACTCTTAGATAATAGAGCGAACGTTAATACGTAGAGCGGTGAGTACGGTAATACTATATAGGCCGCCTTATACGAAGGTTATATAGAGATTATCTAGCTACTCTTAAATAAGGGGGCGGACGCTAACGCATAGGGCGGTAAGTATAATAATACTCTATAGGCCGCTTTATACGAAGGTAAAGTCGAGATTATCCAGCTACTCTTAGATAAGGGGGCGAACGTTAATACGTAGGGCGGCGAGTATAGTAACGCTATATAGGCTACCTTAATTAGAGGTAATATTAAGATTACCTAGCTACTCTTAGATAAGGGGGTAGACGCTAATACGTAGAGCGGCGAGTATAGTAATACTCTATATACTACCTTAATTAGAGGTAACGTCGAGATTACCTAGCTACTCTTAGATAAAGGGGCAGACGCTAATACGTAGGGCAGTAAGTATAGTAATACTCTATATACCGCCTTAATTAGAGGTAATATCGAGATTACCTAGCTACTCTTAGATAAGGGGGTAGACGCTAACGTATAGGGCGGTAAGTATAGTAATACTCTATATACCGCCTTAATTAGAAGTAATATCGAGATTATCTAGCTACTCTTAGATAAGGGGGCGAACGTTAATATATAGGGCGGCGAGTACGGTAATACTATATAGGCCGCCTTATACGAAGGTAAAATCGAGATTATCTAGTTACTCTTAGATAATAGGGTAAACGTTAATATATAGGGTAGCGAGTATAGTAACGCTATATAGGCCGCCTTATACGAAGGTTACGTAGAGATTATCTAGCTACTCTTAAATAAGGGGGCGGACGTTAACGTATAGGGCGGTAAATATAGTAATACTCTATATACCGCCTTAATTAGAGGTAACGTCGAGATTATCTAGCTACTCTTAGATAAGGGGGCGAACGTTAATATATAGAGTAGCGAGTATAGTAACGCTATATAGGCCGCCTTATACGAAGGTAAAGTCGAGATTATCTAGCTACTCTTAGATAAGGGGGTAGATACTAACGTATAGGGTAGCGAGTATAGTAACGCTCTATATACTACTTTATACGAAGGTTACGTAGAGATTATCTAGCTACTCTTAAATAAAGGGGCGGACGTTACTGCGTAGAGTAGTAAATATAGTAATACTCTATATACCGCCTTAATTAGAGGTAACGTCGAGATTACCTAGCTACTCTTAGATAAGGGGTAGACGTTAATATATAGAGCAGTAAGTATAGTAACGCTCTATAGGCCGCCTTAATTAGAGGTAACGTCGAGATTATCTAGCTACTCTTAGATAAGGGGGCAGACGTCTAGCGTCTCGATTCATTAGGCCGTATACTACTCTTCTTAGCCGCGAAGTACGGGTATATTAATATAGTTCGCGTTTTACTCGTAGATCCTAATATTAATAAGATAGTAGAGGATTAATATAATTTAATACTACTCTCTACTACGATACGAAATAGCTACGCTAATATTACTATTATATTATTATCGAATAATAATAGTACGCTAAACGATTAAGATTCTTTTAATTATAGTCTAATATAGTAAACGTATTATAACGACTACGCCGACGTTCTTCTAGTTTTACTTCGTTATATAGTAGAGAAAGATATATTTATAGATAGAGATAATCCTCCTATAATTATAGAATAGACCCTATTTAATACCCAGCAAGTATAATATAATATCTATACGCTTACTATATCTCGTAGAACGGGCCTTTCTTATAAGACGTATTATAGCGGAGGATTCTATATATATAAAGATTACGTTATACTAGGGTTCCGGTACTATAAATCGTCCTATTCTTTAGTAGCTCGATAGTAGTATTTAGTTAATAAGGGACTACTACGGTAACGTTAAACGAGGCGAAAATAGTATTTTAAGTGGCTAGAGGATAAGGATTATCGAGGTAGCTCGCCCGTTAATATAGTATCTATCTAACTTATTCTATTATCACTATCATTATAGCAATTAGTCATCTACGTCCTTTATATTCCAGATAGTCGTAGCCCTATACGGATAGCCTTAATCTAGACCGGCGTTTATTCCAGTAATACACCTTTCATATATCACACTATAAGACCCTACTTCTTAGGCTTAAAGATGTGTTAATATTTGCCTAGGCGGACGCTCAAATCACCCGCTACTGTACACGCAAAAAAGACTAGTTCAGAGTCTTAATATCGCGCTCCGTTAACGCCTCCACTACCGGTATCACCGACAGAATGAGCTTTATTGATTATGTCCGGGTCACCGTCCTACGTCATTCCTAATGCACCTTGCCATGCCTTTCCAAGATGCGGCCGATCGCTCGCCTTCTAATTGCTCGGACTTGAGGTTTTACCCCTGCATCTGTAAATGGCCACTGTCTCGTTTCCATAATTCACCATTGTCTGCTTCGCGATTGAACATCTTGCCATAAAACCAAGGATACTTCGCTTAGCAGGCGATGAACTCCGCGAGAGATTTCGCCAATATGTTTACCTATCATTCCAGGTCCTAAATTGGGCCTCAAGGTCGTCATCGGGCCCGCACCATGCCAGCAACGTATTCAGCTCTTATCTGATTCATAAGCACACACGCGGTCCTTCTGGTCAGGTCATCCGGGAGCCGAGCCTCAGGAAGTTGTGAAGGCGTTCCAGTTGTGTGCTGGACGTGCATACAGTACTACATGTGGTCAATGGCCAATAAATGATGCAGGATTTGTCTGCTTGTATGCAACTGGGCCCAACTCTGGTCTTTGGCGGTTGATATTCTACCCCGTCCGGCGGCCTGCGTCGGCCGTCCAAGTCCTGACGGATTATTTGGGTTACATTGCATAGTTGCGGACACATTCGGAGACGATATGAATGGCATGACTCTGGACAGCATGCCGTCAGCCTCGCGACGGGATATAAAGCTGTTGCCTGGCTCTCGACTTTGGGTTGCTCTGAACGTAGATCTTTCCCCAACGACCAACGCACTTGCGTCAGAGCCTTTGCCCCTTCTACTGGGTCAAACTACAAGTGCGTGCAGCGCTGTCCACTTGAATGTTGAGTATCTGCTCACTACTTTGGACTAGATCCAATTGTTCCGAAATCACATAGCCGCACTTTAACACCAATCCAGACGCTGTGAAGGAGCTCAGAAGCGTGAATTGTTGACTTCATCGTTACCCACTCCTTTACCAACGGCTCTCTCTCTCTTGCATCTTGATTCGTTCACCGGCGACGGGACTAAGCCTTCTTCAAATTTGAGTTTGATTGAAGTGCCAGAAGCGCCATATAACTTGGAGCCTCCTTCATGAAGGGCATTCTTTTTGGGATGTGGCCAAGCAAAATTGGAGTTGTCAGAAGCTGCCGTTGTATGGCAAGTAAACACTGCACATTGACCAGTCGAAATGGATGAAGGATATTCTAGACCTGTAGAGAAACAAGCCAGTCCCATCTACCCGACGCATAGCCAATATCTTGGTTGGAAACAGATTCGTTTCGTTTCGCGGCCTTTCTTCTAGCTTTTCCACGACGAACCTCCCTTGTGGCAGGGGTGAAAGAACACCAGCTACCGCTCTACCAGATGATGGCGATAGCAAAGTGTCTATTTCAAGAGGCAATATAGTCAAGCCCCTTGCCAGATAACCCTCAGAGGCAAGCTTGATACCTAATTTGTCCGGGGCTGATTACTTTGAATACAGCTACAGTGCTATCTAGCGGTGACGTAAGATCTCCTCTGTTCTTAACCACCGATCTCGATCAAACGTGTCTCGATGACGGTCTTTCTTTCTCATCT